ACTAAAAAATATTTAACGATTACAATGTGAACCTATTTTTATATAATTTTTTTTAACTCCCATTAATCTTAACAATTTAGGAAAATAGTCAATCTAATATTTTATTGAATTTTAGGTGCTTTTACTATATAGTCTCACGAAAGCGCTTGTTGAGGAATTTACCAATAAGATCTATATTTACTATAGTTACCGCCCTTATTTTCTGATAATATCATGTATGGACATCCGTATTTACAAAAAAAAATCATTTATGTATACATTCACACACACACACACACACACACACACACACACACACACACACACACACAATTCTTTTTAAAATACTGGGATCGGTAAATTGTAGTAAGCCTTTCTATATTAGTATATGCAGTTTTTACTTAATAATATCATCTAACCGATACAAATTAATACAGAATTTTAAAAGATTTAAAGCCTTGTAAATTACTAAGATTAAAATCTTTAAAAAACCGAAAATAATTTTTAAAAATTAATAATTCACAGAATTATTTTTCTGAAGACAACAGCGTGTATAATATATCTTATTCTTAAAAGTTTTTCTAATCAACTCTTAGTTTTATTGCATTTTTTATTTTACGTTTCAGAACAGAATTTTAGTAATTGCAGTCCAGTTTAAAAAAAAAATAATGATTTTATTTCTCCAAAAAACTTGTCCTTATAACTAATATAAATATTAAGCGTTACAATAATTAAAAAAGAAATTAAATCACTTGGGTTAACAAATTCGTCTATAAATAAGCCTTGAAAATTTCATTAAAATCAGATTTGATTTTTGCAAGAATTGACAAATCAATTTGTTTTCACCGCAAAAAATACACTCAAATTTTTCATACTAAAATATGTTCCCCTGTTGACACAAGAAAAATAAAATTTTTAACTTCGAAGATTCTAAATAGGATTAAAAAAAATTAATTTGATAATTAAATAATCCTTTGATCTTTCCTCTTAATAATAACCTATTTTGACGATAAAACTGGTTTTATTAAGTTTTGAACATTTTCATTAACATTTTTAGCAAGTCTTTGGTGGTACCTGTACATATTTATTATCCTCTATCTGAGTTTTCTTGTTTTGCTTCAATATTTAAAATATAAGTCAAACCACTATCACTAAATGTAATAGTTTGAAACACTGAAATGAAAACGACTCTGCTTTTTGTACATAAAAAACTATGAACTAATGAAAGGGCTCGATATTATATATATATATATATATATATATATATATATATATATATATATATATATATATATATATATATATATATATATATATATAACATAAAAGATCCAGTTCAAAATCAAACGTGCATTCTAAAATATTTAAAAGTTAATTTCCCAAGAAATGAAGTGAAGGTCTATATTCGTTAGGCTTTTATATAAAAATATATTTGTCTTTCGTCTTAATGAGTATAATAAAGATTTTGGTTATAAAATTTTGATTATATTTTATTTTTATTACGTTTGAAGTATTTTTTCATCATGTTATGCTCATTTTTAACGAATCATTTGTGGCACCAATATATATATATATATATATATATATATATATTTATATATATGGAAAACTTTTCGTATGCCGTTAATGGTTGTGCTAGCACGAAAACACAAATAATCGTAATGGAAATATGATAGCATTGGCCTTGTTCAAGATATTGATCACACCCGATTATGCACTCTCTCCCAGAAACTACAACTAAAGCCCGCTCAGAATAAGGCGCTCTGGAGTAGGACCCATAATAGGGTCTCATTAGCAGCCCTGACAGACGGGTGTGCTCGAAAACAAGTAGTAGTCATATATATATATATATATATATATATATATATATATACGACATTACCCAGTTTCCCATCTGTCATTCATCTTCCTACTATTATTCTGATATATATATATATATATATATATATATATATATATTATATTAATTGATTAAAATATGGTTTTTTTCCGCTACACAGTTCTAACCATGTTTCAAAAAAAAAAAAAAAAAAAGTTACTCCAAAATTCGTTTGTGGATGAAATGGAACTAATGTCTTTTATTTAATTGCAAAATTAAATTCGTGGGTTTTAGCTTACATTTTTGAAACATGGTTAGAACTGTGTAGCGGAAAAAAACATATTTTAATCAATTAATTTATAATATTAATGCCCTGTAAATTTACATTGAGCACTATTTTGTAAAATAAAATATCTATAAGAACACCGGATTATATATCTTACTGTTCTTTCTTTTATTTAAAATACACACACACACACACACACACACACACACATATATATATATATATATATATATATATATATATATATATATATATATATATATGTACGTCACTACCCAGTTTCCTATCTGTCATTCATTTTCCTACTATTATTCTGATATATATATATATATATATATATATATATATATATATATATATATACTGGGTAGTAGTGGATTTTGTTCTGAGAAACAAATTCTTCAGACAACAGTTTTATTGATAAAATCAATTTACATAAAAAAGGGGAAAAACTTAGCGGGGTCAAATATGACAGGCACCGGTTACCGTTTACATCGAAACGTTTAAAGATACAGAGATGTTCACATTTTCAATTTAAATTTTGTCGCCTGATGTATTAAGATCCTGAATTTTTTTTTATTTTCTTTTTCATATATTTGTATCATATACAGTAAAGTTACATCCATAATAACACAACATATCTCCTTTCTCTCAGAAGATTATAGCTAATACAATGTGGGTTACTTAAAAACAATAACGATAAAAATAAATGCGATGAAATGCAGAATGAAATTTAAAGGCTGAGCGTTTCTGAATCTTTAACGTTTCCATCAATAAAATCGTTATTAGTCTGAAGAAATACCTTCTCGGGTCGAAACACGTCTCTCCTCAATTTTGTATCTTGTCATCCATTTGCCCTTTATGGAAGAAGGGGTTACAGGTTCGATTCCATTCGGGAGATATATTTTTCTTTAGTAGGACTTCTTGATCTAAATCGGCTGAGGTTAATTTCATTGTTTAAAAAAAGAAGGAAAGGGATTGGGATGTCAACTGGAACATGTGTTACACACCCCAAACTAAGAAATAACGAAAATGAGAAAAACAGCAATCAATTGCTGAAATCTCCTGACGAGTGGACTGAACAATTACAAAAAGGTTCGTCTCTGGAGTCGAGATGCTGAATATAACATCAAGAAGCAAAAAAGCAAATTTAGGAATCGTTAAACCAAATCCGACAGATTCTCTATTTGGTTTGATAAGTAACAACAAAATCAACGGACTACACCAAAACCCGACACCCTATGTACTAATAGCAAGTGGAAATTTATTGAAAAACCGGATCTAATAGGGAATCTATGAGATAAATATATAAAGCTATCCAAAACCGAATTGAAAGCTCCCAACATTGGTTTAAAATTTGCTACTGGGATTCATAAGGGAGATCTAGTTCACACACACACACACACACACACACACACACACACACACACACACACACACACACACACACACACACACACACACATATATATATATATATATATATAAATAAAAAAGAAAGAACAGTAAGATATATAATCCGGTGTTCTTATAGATATTTTTATTTTTCCAAAATAGTGCTCAATGTAAATTTACAGAGCATTAATATTAAAAATTAATTGATTTAAAATATTTTTTCCGCTACACAGTTAAAACCATGTAAAACATGGTTAGAACTGTGTAGCGGAAAAAACCATATTTTAAATCAATTAATTTATAATATATATATATATATATATATATATATATATATATATATTATTATAACTTTAAACATTTTTTTTTAGTGTATATTCATATCTGAATAGATGCTCCATTTATTTGTCAACAGTTTATTATTTATTTTCCTATGTTCTCTCTTGAATATTTGAAAAATCTTATTAAAGAAAAATATCGTTCCTCGGCAGGATTCTAAACATTCGTTCCTCAGAGCAGACGGAATCCGTCGTTAGATCCGATGCGCCTTAATGCGGCTCGGCCACTGAGTAGTGTTTTGGATCATATATATATATATATATATATATATATATATATATATATATATATATATATATATATATATATATATATATATATATATATATATATATATATATATGAGGTGAGTATTGTAACTATTTACATTATATATATATATATATATATATATATATATATATATATATGATCAGTTCAGAATCCTGATGATCCTATGTGGTGAAATCTAGGTAGGTAGTATCTGGCTCATTAGGATTTATTTATTTTACCCTTGCTCTACTTAGTGTATCGAATGTTTTTCGTTTTAACATTACTCACTGGATTTTTTGCTTTGTACCACAAATTTAAAATACTGAACGGTTTGTTTCGCCTTCTTCGGAGGTTTCTAGTGCTTTCTTTGATTTTTCTATTTTTCCTCGGATGCCAATTTATTTGAAAATTGTGATATCCAGGGTTTTTCACACACCGAGTTTAAATATATATGAGGTCATGTATTGTAACTATTTGCAAACACATTTTCCTGAGGTGACGTAAGCATTGCACCTCAACGTCTTGTAATAGTTAACAAGCTTGTGTCGCTGGAACAATTACGGTTGAGTAGCGAGTTCGATCCTCACTGGGTGCACTATACTTTCGGCCTTGTGCCACATCTAAACTACGCTTGGAAAATTACCATATTTGCATGTGTGCGTGTGTTGAAAAGTTTTCGACCATACCTACTTTTCAAAATCTGACCAAATAAGCAAAAACTTCTAGGTTGTGCCGTGAACTTTTCAGCACCGTTTCATATCTATCTATCTATCTATCTATCTATCTATCTATCTATCTATCTATTTACCTGGAGAAAGAAAGCCAGAGACTATGAGATGGACGAATTTAAGAACGTATCTCTAATTACATGAGCCACTTTTCTATCACTTCTCTTCTCCCACTCCTTACTTTTCATCGGCCTGATGACGGCTAACAACCACTGGTTTCCCGGTCCCACACGCGAACCCTCGCCAGCCCTTCGTGTTTATTTGCTCCTTCCGCCCTGCTTTCAGAAAGAGAGGTATATCGACGTGAGACGAGCGGAGATAAAGTCAGTAAATTGCTGACCTGTGATAAGAATCGCTCTGCAAACTGGACAATGTCAATGTTTTTTATGGTAGGTGCTAATTACTGGACGGTCCCTTGCCACCAAATTCCTTTTGTTTCTTACGTCTTCGCAAGCTTTCAGACTTTCTTTTAGTTGTTGTTGTTGTGTCTTCTTGTTATCGATGTTAGGGGAATGGTTGGTTTTTCAGATGATTATAGTTGGTTTATTATTGTTTCGTGTTTGTTTTTTTTTGTTTTTTTTTTATGTTTTGTTTTGTTTTTGCCCTGCATGTGTTTTACTTATTTAACCCCCTTGAGACTGTGCGTCTTTTTATTTACAAATTCTTATCATCAATAATTTCAGTTTAGTACCCGCCTCCTTTGTTTTTTTGTTGTAGCTTTACCTCAAACAGGGGTGGGTAGACTAAATGCAGATATAGAAAAGAGAGAAAAAGAGTAAGGAATATGACAAAAAAAGAAAGAGAAATGAAAGAGAGACTAATAAAGGGAGAGTAGGAAAAGGAAGGGAAAATGAGAGAGCGGAAAGAGATAGATAGATAGATAGATAGATAGATAGATAGATAGATAGATAGATAGATAGATAAAAAGAGAGAGACAGATAAATGAAGACGGGGAACAGATAGAGAAAAACAGAGAGAGAGAGAGAGAGAGAGAGAGAGAGAGAGAGAGAGAGAGAGAGAGAGAGTAAAGTAAGAGAGGAAGACAGATCGAGAAAAAGAAGGAGAGATTACAAGCGGAAGAGGGAGTGTGAAAATGAAAAGAGAATGACAGGGCACAAGAGAATGAGAGAAGGAAAAGAGAAAGAAAGGACGAGAAAAATAAGAGGGAAAGTGAGCGAAAAGAGATAGATAGATAGATAGATAGATAGAAATAACAAAAACAATTTTAGTTCTCGATATTAGATAATGAGATAAAAAGGTTGGTGTTAATATATCGGTCAAATCAATGTAAAATAAAAAAAAGCAGAGAGACGATACAAAAAATCAATTAAGTAAATACATAATATCCAAAAAAAAAAAAAAAAATAACCGAACAAATCAAAATTATACGTTGGTTCACGGTGTGTTGCTAGACAATTTTTCTCCCCAGAATCTACCTTACATATCTATAAGACTACCATTTGATAATGCTTAGAATATTGCTGCCACATATGGTCCGGTGCTCCTACTATACATCTAGAAATCCTTGATAAAATCCAAAGAAGAATCAGCAATATCAATGGTCCTGATCTGACATCTCGGCTTCAGTCACATCCCTACCGCCGTAAAGTTGCCTCCCTGTGTCTTTTTTATAAATACTTTCATGGTATTTGTTCGGATGAGCTCATCGTTATGGTACTTAGATTTTATGAATTTAAGCGAAGTACTAGAATGGCGACGTGGTCTTCTCGCTTGTGGAACTCTCTTCCGGCTCCATGATTTTCAGTTAACTTTAATCTTCAAAAATTTAAATGCGATGACAATCGCTATTTCCTGTCCTCATTACTCTTCTTTTGTTCTCTTTTCTTTGTAATGTTTTCTGTTTTCTAATTCTTCCACTCTTAGTAAATCCTTGTGCCTTAGTGGCTTTACTGCCTTGCTTGCGGTGAAAGTGATTAAAAAAAAATTATTGATAAAATCAAAATTGCTTAGAATTAAAATTAAATGACAGTGATCTTCAGCGGGATTTTTTAAAAATTATAATTATAATTACGTTTGCGCCTCCTTTAGTTCTGCATACCCGTTACACCCAGTCAATACCTCATAAATAAGGGACTATTCCATTTTCATCACAAAGAAAGTCAGAAACGTCATATCAGGGACACCATTAGAAAAAGAAATAAAAGAAAGAAAGAAAGAAGGTTGGGAAGATAGTATTTTACGTCTCTTAGAAATACCTCATAAATAATGGTCTATTCCATTTTGATCGTGTGGAAAAACAAAAAAAAAAGACATATCAAAGCCGCTACTTCGGTTCAGTGAGAAAATGAAAGAGAGAGAAAGAGAGAGAGAGAGAGAGAGAGAGAGAGAGAGAGGGAGGGAGGGGGGTGAAGGAAGAAAGAAAGAAAGGAATCGTTACATTTCTACCCACTTCTTAAAATAACGACCAGACATTCATATTTATAATTGTTATTTCAATATTTTAAAGTTGTTAAGCTCAAAATATTTAACGATGTTTTCCACTGACCTGAAGTGGAACAACTACATTGAATCAATAGCTTCATCTATCGCAAGGAAAGTTGGTTCTCTTTGTCGCGCCAGAAGGTTTTTCTCGTCTTAGTTCATCCTTCAAATCTACAAATCTACCCTTAGTCCTTGCATTTAATACTGTTGCCATATATGCTCTCGTGCCCACCCTTGCTGTTCATCTCGAGGTCTTCGGCAAAATCCAGAGACGGATATGCAATATGATAGGTCCTGATCTGGCATCTCATCTACAGTCACTTCCTCCAGACGTGCTGTGGCTTCCCTCTGTCTTTTCTACAAATATTTTCATGGCAACTGCACTGACGAGCTACTTTCACTGGTACCCCAACTGCATGAATTTAAGCGTGCTACTAGGTTGGTACCTCGGTCCCACCCTTTCACTGTTGAAACAGTTAAATATAACCGCCTTTTCTACACCAACAGATTCTTCTCTCGCACTTCCAGACAGTGGAACTCTCTTCCTCCTATTTGCTTCCCTGACAGATATTGTTAGAATTTTTGGGTACTTTGTACTAGTGCGCCAACCAAAATGAGCTAACTCATTTTATAGTCCACCAATCAGAAAGCTCAAAATATTCAATCCGACGTGTATAAAGGCAGCCATTTTGTTTTTTCTGCAAAAATATTTTCACTGCCAACCTCTGATATCGAAGACTTAAAGAATTTCTTAACAGCTGCTACTTTCTCCGAATATTCACTGTCAGCCTCTGATATTGAACACATTATGTACTTCACTGGATTCTATATTTAAAGACTACGGCAAACATGGTCAACATTGGTTATGAGCCCAGCACGCTTCCACTGCGCTAATGTTAAGTACTTCAGGTTAATAAACAGATATAATCTTCAAATATTCAAATGTAATATCAGTCGACATCTTCTGATGACTTGATCATCGTTCTTCTCTATATTCTTTCCTGAAACAACCCTCTTTACTGTTGCTCTCATCCTCTGTAACGAAGAAGAAGAAGAAGAAGAAGAAAAGACCTTCTTCATTTGAAATATTGGCGTACTACAGTATTACTATTTTCTATCTTTGGTATTGTGTTAGGCTAAATTAAAGATAGTAAAATATGTATTTCAAGATATCAGAATAAATGAACATGCAAAACTGTTTCCTAAACGCAACAGTTTCAGGTTTATTAAAGCTATATTGCTGAAAACGGTGTAAACTTGCCTTCAGAACGTCTTAGAAATAATTGAATTAAGTATTTTTATTTTACAAGAAAAACGTTTCTGTTGTAGAATTAAGTATAAATCACGATTTGATTATTTTCGTTTTTAGCTACTCAGATGTAAGTCACGAATTATAATTAGTGTGTGCTCTTCTTTACAAATGCTATTTTTATATTAGGTTGAGTCATAAGTATTGAGGAATCAGAGAGCTGAGTTCGAATTCCAGTCGAATCCATTACATTCATTTACGTACCTTGGGAAAGGTATAAATCCTCTTCTTTCCCCCCAACTATGAGTAAATAGAAGGACAGACCGAGTTCTATATCCTTGGATGGCAATTAGTCAACCGCAGAAAGAAATGGCAACCTACTGCTGAAAAACAAAACAAAACTGCCTTGTCAGTGATGTATCGAAAGATACATGATCGCCTACGCGTGTATCACGCATGGCACATAAGTGACTGAATTGTAATATTAACTTTTTCCTTATAAGGAAACATTAAGCATTCATTGACTGAGCAGCCAGTGCTATTGTCGGTTGAAATTTTTAAAATCTTTCACTGAAAATAATTAAAAGTCCAGTAGCTGTCATCACTATTGATGGGGGTTTCCTTCCTAACCTTTTGTTTGAAGTAGTGTGGAACGTTAACATTTTAATTATGCCATTATTTTTTCTAGGAATATGTCGTTCCGCTATCCATGTCTTGGAATATCTCGTTATCTAGCTATCCATATCTAGGGATATCTTTTTCATGTCCATGTCTCCTTTCGCTATCTATGGCTAGAAATATCTCGTTTTGCTATGTATGTATAGGGATATCACAATCCACTGTCCATTTCTTAGGATATCTCGTCGAGGCGGTAAACCACATCATATGTGAATGCAGAAATCTTACTAACCCCTCCCCTCAAAAAAAAAAAAAAAAAATAGCAGGCATGAGAGTTTAGGAACAGTTAGACACTGGGAACAGTGTAGAATATTTTCGGATTGGTTATGTAAATAAATGGTATCAGAACGAGGTAGAAACTCTTTTTAAAAACTAAAAAAGAAAATTTGAGATCTCAACCAACATTCAACCAAGAACATGAAATTGGAAAAATATCAAGACTTGAAGCATAAACGTTACGGTTATGTCTATAATAGTTGACGCACTTGGAAGTGTGGCAAAGTCGCGATAAAAGGAATTGCGAAATCGAAAAATACATGAGACTGTCAACACTAAAGCGATGCTGGTGTCTGTATGATGTTATTAAAATTACTGGAGACTTTGGGAAACTTGCTCTTACGGAATCACCAGGTGATAACCACCACCACCACCACCACCACAAAAACAACAACAAAACAACAACAACAATAATAATAATAATAATAATAATAATGTTGTTACTGTCTAGGTTCTAAATGGCCGGATGTTGTGTATGAAACCGGAATTCGGTGTAATCCCTGTTAATTGCTCTCTCGGACCCTGTAATTGACACCCTACATGGGACAAAGACTGTAGCAGATTCTTAGCCCTTTGTGTGTTTGTGTTGTGGGGGGATATCACCCAGCACCCCACCCATGGAAAGAGAACAGGAAACTCTAAGCTCTGCTTAGTCACAGCGTCATATTAATAATGTTATATTTTGGGTTTCCAAGAAGGCGAAAAGTAAATGATAATATCTTAGTGGACGTGTAATGCCAACACCATGTGACAGGAACCTGTTTATGAACTAAAAAAAAAAAATTCTTGTGACAATGTTCCAGTATTGTCATATTGCGGAAAATCATGAAAGTCAAAACAGTTCATGAGTTTTTTTGTTTCCTTTTTACTTTGAAGGAAAAGGAACATATACAAAACGTCTAAAGTAAGGAGTTTTTAAACTTGATATAAATTTAAAATAATTATTTAAGAATTGATTAATTCAATTATAAATATAATTTGGCAGTTCATACAAATTATTGCATAAATTAATTAGTGATAATTGATTAAAATGATTTACTTTCACAAATATATATATATTTAAGCTTATACACAAAATACTAATCAATTAATCATTTAACTGAAATTTTAGCTAAACAGACTGACGTTGATTTTTTTAATAGAGTACTTAATGTACAGAGGCACATACAGTGTAAATATTACGTTTTGGGTCTCATATTAAAAACACGGTACGTTTTTAATATGAGCCTCAAAACGTAATATTTAAGCATATATGTATCGCGCGCGATCGCTGATCCTGTGACCCATCAGGGTCGTAGAGGCACCACATGCACCTTAGCCGCATGGTGTTTCTTGAGTAAGATAGCCTGACGGAACCCAACTCTATCCATGCCGGTTTTGAATTCAGAGTTTCCTTCTCCTAGACTGGTTGCCATCCAAGGCTATAAAACCCAGGCTGTCTTGCTAATCACCCATATCTGGGGAGAGAAGAAGAGGATTCATATCTTTCCCAAGGTATGAATCACGTTAAGTGAATATAATAGACTAGAATTCGAACTCGGCTCTTCGATTCATCAATCGGAGCCGCTATCCATTACGCCGCCGTGCCTCCACGTATATGTATATATGCCAGTAAAAAAATAAAATTAATTATATACTATACTAAATGTAACACAAGCAACTTAATCATACGCAATAACTCTTCTTCGTCAACACGTGTCTTGGAAAAGACCAACATTGTATATCAAAATGGCCTTTGGGAGATTTAACGTAAGTACATATGCTGGCATGACGGCCACAACATTATCAAGACATCTTACACTTCATTCTTTCGAATATAAGTTCTATCGCACAGGATCTAAAAACACATACCTATCCACCTTTACAATAAAGGAAAATACTTGTTGACAACACCAATATATAACCAATGTAACCTTTAAGTTCTCGAGGCCCCCTATATCAAAAGCGAGCAAGCAACCAACACTGAACAAAAAATTTATTACGAGTATAGTAGCAATGTTTTAAAAATGTATTTGACCATCATTTAATGCCATTTGCATTTTACCATCTGTGGTTAACTCCCTTACATCGTGGACGCATGTTTGCAAAAAGACATCGTAGCTAAAACGATTAATTTTAAAATAACTGTAACAGAGCGCGTACACGCGTGTTTAAAAAAATCACCATCACAACGATTACAATTACATTAAGTTTGTCTTCGCAATTCATCCCTGAGGGTGATCTCGGAGAAGATCGAAAGTACTTGGGTTAAGAAAAAATACGGCGCCTTCCTTGATGAATTTCAACTTAGCATCAAGAAGTTAATTAGATAACTAGAAAGGATCATTATAAAAATAAATAGACATAATATGTCTATGTTATTCAATAAAACATGTTTGAATGATCATATGCTGTTTAAATATATATATATATATATATATATATATATATATATATATATATAAAGAACAATAAAAGGAAAATCATACTTGCCTTGATAAAATCTGTCGTAAGTTGAAACACGTTGGTAAAGTGTAGTTTTTATTTTTGTCTTTTTACAGATATAGTTTTTTTTATATATATATATCTGAATTTTTACACACACAAATATACCCACACATACATACGAACGCACACAAATACGCAGACATACCCCCCCCACACACATACGCACACCCATACAAATATATATGAATATATATTATATTATATAAGCTTGGTCTGTAGATTGCATTGAAACGTGATAACTGATTGTAACTAAGTTAAGCAACGTCAAGCGTGGTCAGTACTTAAATTATATATTTGTCTTTACTTATAATAACTTGTTGCTACTTATCAGGCAACTTTTCGATTCAGTAGGTTTTGATGTGAAAAAATTTCAGCCAGCTCTTGAATCTGGTTTCAGTTAGATAATTTTTTCCCCTTCAAAGCAGTGATCGAAAAAGTTTGGCGCACGGTCAGATGAATATGGCGAGTAAAGCAGAACAGACCAATCAAGTTTCAAAATACTTTCGCTGTTATTCTTGCTGTATGCTGTCTTGAGTTGTCATGGCAAACAAAGAGTTTCCTATTGACAAACATTTATGTACACGTTGCAGCTACTTGACGTATAAATGTGCATTTACTGTTTTATTGTGCTTTAAGAACTCTAAATGAACAATACGCCGTTACCATTCTTTCAAGCTTTTGTGGTCAGTTGGAGATTTATCCTTGTTAATTTACAGCCTTTTGCAGTAAATTAAAGGTCAGGTGAATATGGCGTGTGGGGAAGAACAGACTATTCAATTCCAAACAGTTTTCCTTCTTATTCTTGTTGTATGCGGCTTTAATCCATCGTGTATGTTGGAGGGAATTTAGTGTACTCTAAATTTATTCTCATGTGCCATGTACGATTAGTAGTTAAGATAGTACATTCGTAATTACAATTGGTTCCTCAAAACAGAAATTACTTATGACTTAGTGAAAAAGAAATTGAGTGACTTTTAGTTCGCTCCAAATGTTCAATGCTGCACGTTGGGTTGAAAATCCCTGCAAAGTCTGCACATATAGATTAATTCAAAAGCCATCCATCTCATTCACATATTTATGCGTATATATTAAACTAGCAGCAGGCCCGGCGTTGCCCGTACTTGATTCAAAAATCGTACGACTCATACAGCAATCGCTATCACTTGAATTAAAATATTTTTTGCCCTTCTTTGTCTTTAAAGGAGTGCCCTTTGCCGTGCTGATGTTGCTACATGCCTTACTTCTTGCCTATCTCACACTGCGAACTTTTTCTAAGCTCTATACTAAACATTAAATCTGTTACGAAAAAAAAGAACTAAACAAAATGAACACAAAACGATCAGCTTTAAAAAAAAGGACTCGTAACTGGAAAAACCGAATGAAAAAGAATGTTAACAACAAATACTTTTTCACACCCAACCCAGTTCTGCGGAATCAGAATCAACGTTGAGTTTAAGCAAGCGAATGAGCCAATTGGAGTAAAGTGCCATGCAGATTTAAATTTTTTCCACTTGTGACGAATGCAGCTATCGATTTTTTTGCATGCTAGCATGCTAGTTAACATTCGTGTCAGTCAGCTGTTGGCTCTCACGCTGGCCAATAGAATCTTCCTGCCTATTCGTGGCAGCCAGCTATAGGCTCTCACTCTGGCCAGTAGAAAATGGCCGCAAACTACATGAAAACTGCCGTAGAAGCATGAAAAAATCGATTATTTCCACTGTCGATGGGATTTGAGAAATGCAAAGTCGGTCTCGGCCTTCCCACTAACTTGGAGCATGTGCATGTAAATTTTGGTGCAAATCCGTCGAAAATTGCGGCCGTGCATTCGTCACACACACACACACACACACACACACACACACACACACACACACACACACACACACACACACACACAGATCCTGCCTTTTATAGATAGAGATTTCAAGTCTAATTCAATAGCGGATAAGGCGAAAATAAACTACCTCACGTCTGATATTCATAAATAATATACACAAAACTACATCACAAAGGAAACAGTCGCAAACTATACATAAATATACAGCTTCAACGCTAAAAACATTCCTGTATCCCTACACTGAGCCAATATATTAGGAACAGTGACATGTAGCAAAAATAAAATCTACTGTTCCGTAACAAACTTGTATCAAAGGTGATATAAATAAAACAAAGAAATATGAGAAATTATGGATAAGATTAGAGCTTTGAGTGACTTTGTAAAATGCGAAATTGTTATGTTTAAAAAGCTGGATCATTGCATTCCGAAGTGGCTCGGCTTGTGGAGGTGCTCAAATTTATACGTGCTGAGTACATAGTTTGAGGAGGAAAAAATCGCAAAAAGCCCGCAAGGTAGTGGGCTAAAATTACTCCGAGAAGTGAAAGTATATGTTTTTCCGACAAGTACGAGCCAACAGAAAGCCTACTGGGTTGTAATAGGTGTAATCGTTGTGAACAGAAGAATGTGTCACAACATATAGTACATCGATGGTTTTTTGTGTAAGGAGCTGCATCATGCTAACCAATTTCCATTGTCAAAAGCCTCTTTGATGGATACTCGAGCCTCCGATGGGACTTGATTTTTTTTTTGAATGAGGTGGATGATAGATTAAGTGTGCGTTATTTGCTTGGGGGAGATGATAGCACCAGGATGTACTTTAAAAAGAAAAGCAGAAAAAGCAAAAGAAAAAAAGTAAAGAAAAAAAAACCGGTGAAGTTAGTGCGATGGCTTTTTGGTAAAGTTATGTTTAGAAACGCTGTGTCCTCTGATTCCTTTGGCACGTACTTTGTACCGTACCAGCGACTTCAACATCGTGGAATACCAAGTACACCCCTTCATAGAAAACAGTTTTCTAGAATCGCAGCAGCAGTACGGCCTGCTACAGTTCATGAATTCTATAGAAATGGTCCCAGGAACATGAATAGGGTTTAAATCTGTTACTTTGACCACGAAACACATCAGAGATGGGATTCATAGAACAGACAAATTTACTCTTCAGAATCCCCCCCACCTAGTAATAGTTCCATGAACAACATAACACTATATCCCAGAGACCATTTTAGAGATCTTGGAGACTTCTGAAGCTATTTTACTGTCAAAAAGAGGCCCAATATCTTGTTAAGCAAAGTGTATTTTCTGTTTTGGCCCATTAGTGTATATGAAAGAATGTATATATTCAGAAGAAGAGTTTCCCAAAATGTAATTTTATTCTTGTACGACACTAGAGAGAACAATACGAATTTACTGATCAGTAAACTGTGTGAGATTTTATCCAGTAAATCAATGCTATCAAAATTAAATTGGTATGAACCAACAGATGTTATTAAATGTTTAGAATATGTTTATATTTATATAAATATACCATGTAAATTTCATTTTCTTTTTGTTAAAAATACGAGGTCCG